CATAAGCATGCAATATGATATAACATCAAACTCTGCAATGTATACAAATATAGATGAATATATATTACAAGCATATTCAATGTTGATCGGTAAAGCACATAATCTACATCAAAACAATACAAGCTTCTGATCTGGTTAAGCTGATGAAGTTTGGTTTTAGTTTATAGACATTTCCGGTTTGGAAGGTTTGTGCCACATGAAGGCCCAGAAGGGGGTACTGGGCCTCTTTGGAGGGATTGAAGCTGAAGCACCCAGTGATCACCATCAAGAGGCCGCGCAGCTACAAGAGGCAAGAGAACTGAAAGCAAGATGATCAGAGTGATTGAAACTGTCAACAGATTTCTTCTGCAAGTGCTCATTCTTCTGATGAACAAGTTAATTAGCTTTTCTTTGGTACAGGAAATGAATCAAGTATATATGGATGGATTTAATGGTGCTTAATTGGAGTGTAGGATGATGAACAACTGAAACAAGAGAATGCATATATATAGATATAGATCTGTTGGGTTTTTAGAAAACTGGGTCTAGTCTAAATATTGACTACTGAAACAGAGAGAATGGTTAGGGGCTTAAGATCATTTCCTCGTTTTCAATCCTACTGAACGCGAAACTCTTGACCCCAATCGATCAATACGACCAATTAATACACAATTTTGTTCTCTCTTTGAAAACTTTTCAAATATTTGGGTCAGTTTGTGTAAAGGTTGACCACGCGCTATATATTTCCATGTTTTTGTTCTCTTTAATTAACATGACTCAGTCCGGATTTTCATAATCGAGATCAAACATGGTTTAGTGTTTTTCAATTAAAATTTCATCAGAAAAAATTGTTTTCGTTAACTGGAAACCTAGCTACTTCAGCCTATTCGATCAAATTGAATCTGATTTATAAGATTTATATAACACTAATTGGAATATCAGATTAATTCAGATGTTATAAATATTCTTAAAATTAATTAAAAGGAAAAATCTATGATGCGAAAAAGACATGGTATGAAAAGAGTTTTGATTAATTAAAACCCACCTTAATTTTGATAAATAACAATTAATTCATTACCGCACTTATAATTCCAGTTGATTGATTAGAAGTTTTTCCAATATCATGAGTCTTGTCGAACCCCAATTGAAATGTTGGGTCAAGGTCAGGATTGGACAGGAAAGCTTGTAAAGAAAATCAATTGAAAATGCCCTCAATTTTTAACTAATTAGGATTACATTGACCAGCGAGATGACTTATTTTTTTGAAGTCTGATAGCCATAAGGCTTTAATTAATAGTGCTCAACAATACAATCCTCAAGAAAGATGGAGTAAAATGAACTGAGCAACAGAAGAATGATGAGATAAGAGCTTTGCAATCAGCAAAATGAACTGACCAGCGAGATGACTTAGAATTGCGATCTGGTTATAAATCTAACAGTTATTCATGCCGGATTAGCTTTGAGCCCCATTAACATTTTGTGATTTTTAAATTTTTAAAATAGAAAATACATATGAAGCTATTTAAAGCTCATCAACAGCCAATTTAGGGCCCTTTTGGTATGTCTTTCCGTGCGATCTTTCGGCTGTTTATAATCTGGGAAGATCGAAAGCCGTCTATTTTCATTTGGCATGCAGAAGATCTAACTGCCAAAAGACGAGATACCGAAAAGACGCGAAAAGCCCATTTTGGGCTGATTTCGGGAAGTTCCAAATAAAGCTTTTCGCGTCTTTCGCATTTTAATCCCGCACGAAAAGGCCCGAAACGATGCACAGAAAAATGCGCGTCTACCAAACGGTCTTCGGGCTGCCCAGATCTTATGTCAAAAAGCTCAATGTGTCCTTTGACTTTCAAAGCTAGAAGATCTTCTCAAAAAGACTTGCTAAATGGCCCATTAGTTAATAAACTGAATGTAACGAGACATAGGAGTATTCATGAGTCGGGCCAGGCCAGGCTTTGTACCTGTGACAAGGGATATACATTGCCTCGGGTTCTAGGCCTAAAACATAATCTTGGGCCTGTGCCTGACTTTGGGCATATAATATGGATATGAAAATGAAAAATATGGATACAAATAATGCATGGATAACGCTTTGAAAACACATAGATACAAATGAAAATAGGGAAAATGCTTGGATAGGCTAGGGAAATACATGCAACTTTCATAGATACATTAATAACACTAAATTTAAGGTCAAAATAGCCACACCACAAATAATATAAAAACATATGAAAATTTATAGATTAATGATATATAATAAGAAATATATTACAGCTAATATAGAGGGAAGCATAGATGTCAAATAATTTTAATTGATAATGCATCAATCAAGAATCCAACACACATATTATGTATGTGTTTGGAACCATGGGTGATTATTCACTAAACATTTGTACTTGATTTGTTTGCAAAACCAAAGAAAGCAGTAATGAAGCCATTTATTGACACTTAGGCACCACTAGGCGCCATTAGACACCACATCAGCAAAACATTGAATAAACGCCTACCCGATGGGAGAAGCGCTAAAATAAAGCTTCCCCCAACGGTAGGCATGCACATAAATCAAGGCCTTCTTTTGCAATTTCTATGTGTACAAATCCACATAATGGGGGAATGTTGAAGTGGTGCCTATGTTGCAACGCTTATTCAATAAACGTCCACGATTCCAAACACCACCTAGATAGATTTTTACAAATTAATGCATGCACAAAATTATTATTTTGTTATTTTCTATTTTAAGTCCAAGGCACAAAATATATGCAACTATTATATTTTAATTATTATATCAATTCTTTTTCACTTTAATATTTTTACTTTTTAACATTAACAAAAAAATCAAGTAAATATTAAATTCATAAATGTTTGGTGAACACTATGTTCATTTTTGTAAACAACAAATATGTTATCAAAATTTAGATCATATGCAAATTTATAATTTTCAATTACTAATATAATTATTTCATTATCAATATTTCTATTTCTATATTCTTTTTGAAATAAAAATCATTTTTTGATATAAATGTAGATTAATAATTTAATAGATTCAATTTAATATTATATTCTTGAATACTTATAAACAATATTTATTTTTTGAAATAATAAATATGTTATTATTTAATGTAAATTAAAATAATAATTTATGATTTTTAAAAATATATAAAAATTGTAAGATACTTATCATGTACAAATTTATAAATTTTAAGTACTAAAATAATTATTCTACTATTAATACTTTTATATAAATTTCTTGAGATTAAAAATCATTTTTAGATAAATGTGAATTTGATAGATTATTTATTCCATTAGTTTACAAAGTATCAACTTTGAATGTCATTCTTTTTAATTTTTAGTTGTTGTTAAAAATAAACATATGCATTCTACCATGACCCATCCCATATTAATAAATTCAACTCATAATGCATAATTACATATACCTTACAACAACATTATACAGGTCAAGAAGGGTTGAATTCACCCCAAGTACCTTAACTATACTCATAATCCCATGGCCCATCCCGATAGGCCATATCAAAACATACACATACAACTCATATATATATATAGAGAGAGAGAGAGAGAGGATAGTCTGGTCATAAAATGATTATGCATGATGATCATCATGTATGAATTCCTCCATTCTAGAAGCAAAATATATCTTAGAAAGAAGAGTCATTAATGGTTTATCATGCATGAACCATTCCATCATGTTTTATCATTTTGAGGATCACTGAGGCATACCTAATTATATATATATATATATAGAGAGAGAGAGAGAGAGAGGATAGTCTGGTCATAAAATGATTATGCATGATGATCATCATGTATGAACTCCTCTATTTTAGAAGCAAAATATATCTTAGAAAGAAGTCATTAATGGTTTATCATGCATGAACCATTCCATCATGTTTTATTCATTTTGAGAATCACTAAGGCATACCTAATTTTATATATATATATATATATAGTGGTAACCAAAGGAAAATGTATATCGAGTTACTTGATTGATGCATTACTTCCTTCATTTTCAACACAATGGGACGAACCCTAAAAAAAAATGCCACCTCCATTCTATTGCAACAGATCTCTCTCTGGTTGGATCCTACATCATTTTGGCTAAAAGGGTAGAGTGGCTACACTATTGCAATGACATACTAGGATCTTTTCACAAAAAAAGGCTTCAATGTTGTCAGTGGCAAAAATTCATCGACTTCCCCGACCCAATGGGATCAGGGATGGGGATTGCTCTGGTGGGGCAGGGACGAGGATTAATAGGAATCCACGATCGGAGTCAGGGTCAAGGATGGGGATAGAGGTCCCCACCCCACCCCAACCTCAATTATATATATTAAATATTATTATTATATATAATATTATTTATATTATATATATATATATCAAAACATATATAAAATATTATTTATATTTTATAATTTTTATTTATTTTAAGCAAATTTATTTTCAAAATATAGTGTTATTTAAAAAAAAATTCAAGGATTCAGGTCCTCATCGAGGATTGGGGATGGAGGACAACTTTTATCCCCAACAGGGAACGGAGATGAGGATTAATTTTAGAATTGGAGTCGGGGCGGGGACGTCGCTGCCATTTGTAAAATTCCTGCATATCCAATAGATTACAGAGTTCATCGGGAGGATCTTCAAGAAAATTTTCAAAAATAGTACTGACAAGAGTATAATCAAGAAGAAACAGACCTCAATCTTTGCATTAGCCAAAACAGTTTCACTAAAAAAAGTACAATTAAATAAGAGAAATCTAATTATTTACGGTATCCTCAAGCCTCAGCAGAGCTAAATCACGTTGAAAGGAATGCAATTCATTAATTACATCCCCACAACCATCCCTCCAATCGGTTTATGCTCAAAGTTTTTAGTATTTGGTTTGTAAAATAGTTTCCATTGTGTTACTTGTAAACCAGTTCTATTTGCCTATTCTGCAATATCTTGTTTTTCTCCTTTGATAGATAGATTAGAATCAAAAAAGAATTGCATTAATAAATAGCCTGTGACAAAGCAATATAGTTTTTCCAATATATTGACAACTCTAGAAGTGCTTAAGTAATCCAATGAAAATAATTGACAACAAATTCACTCACTTTAAGTTAATTCAGATATCAAACATATTAATCATTCAGTAATGGTTTCGGAGATCTATATGCCCGGTGCTATATAACAGGAGGATCCTGCTTCAGAAGCCACCGTTGACTGATAAGCAGACTCACCAACAATTTGATCAAGTGCAAAGTCGATGAGTTTTGATTCAAAGTCCATGTCCAGAAGAATGTTCCTTGATTTGATATTCCTATTAAGTGTGGATGAAGGCAAACCAGTCCTTGGGCAGCTCCTACAACAATCTTCAATCTAATACTCCATTTTAATTGAAAGTCTGATCTACATATCAAATTTCCTAAACTCCCTCTTTGTATAAATTCATATACCAAGAGAAGTGAATCATCATAATAGAAAAAAACCCAAAAGCTTTGTGATATTCTTATGCCTGATCTTTGCTAAAGTCTTGATCTCAGCCTTCAAAGTTTTCGAAGATTGACCTCTTACACTCTTTAACTTCTTAACAGCTCCACCATTACATATTGCACCTTTCTCGTCCATTCCCATTATCAAGTCCTGTTCAGTAATGGATATCAACAGACCTTTCTCGTCCATTCCCAGATGAGATTTCTTCTTGGAGGAACGGTACATTACAAAGAAGCCAACAACAACCACAAGAGAGACAGCAAAAGCAATGGATATCAGCACAAATGTCAATTTGTCTGGCCCCTCTTCTGAGCAAGAATTGGGTAAAATCCAAATCCACAAAGGTCTAGATTTCCCTGAAGGAACGAAGCTAGAAGACCAGATATTAGAAAGTATGGGACCCTACCTGAGAGCTTATTGAAGGAAACATTGAAAAGGGCAAGCTTTAGGTTCTGTAGCTCTTGTGGAATTGGTTCAGTGAGATTATATCGGAGAAATCCAGGTAGGTCAACATCGGCAATTCCGCTAGAGAATACGGGATTTCTCCGCTAATCTTAAGCAAATAGAAAGTCTTCTACGTAAAAATAAAAACAAAACTTCACTCTAATTAGATCAAGAAAGGAAAACTATATTAAAACCAATGTCTTGATTAGTAATAAACATATATCAAAACCAAACTAAACCAACAAAGAAAAATAAATATAAAAATCAACATCAATTCAATCTCTTCTATCACTTAATTCCCCAAAATAAAATAAACAAAACAATGAAGATAAAACAAAAACCCAGAAACCATTAAACCTACGAGAAAGAGAAAATGAATAAATCCTCTATCCCAATAAATTGGAACTCTCAACAATGAAAAAAAATCGAAGCTTTCGAGAACCCAAGTGTACAATGGTGGTGCCGTTGAAGAAAATTGAAAAACAAGAAAACATACATTGGGCTGGAAAACCGAAATCCATGAAGAAATCCCACATTATATATATATATTGAAAATCCCAACCAGGAGGAGAAAACGGAAGCTCCTAATGAACTGTACCTGTACGCTAGGGGCTTTTCTTCACCGTGATTTCATGAAAGAATTCATCTCCCTTTTTCATTTAGAGAGAAGACGGTTTCATTCACCTATCATAAATTCGCTAGAGGGTCAAGAACTTATAAGTTAGAATACGTTTCAAAAAAAAAAAAAACTTTAATCATAAAAAGGAAACTAGGTATTTCCAACAATAATAAAGCATTAATTAAAATGAATTAAAACTGATATTAAGCAGGTGAAAATTGAACGGAGGACAGAGAAAGGTGAACGGACCTCACCCCCCCCCCCCTCCTTTGGACCCTTTCAACATAAAACAAGGTCCTTTTTTCCCCGTCATCTTTTGCTGCACTTCATCATAATCTTATCCATAGCCGTGTCCAAATCCATGATCAAGCCCTTGTCAAGAACCCTAAGTGCCGTATTGCAGAAAATTGTATTGCATGAGCAGAGGCGAGAGAGAAAACTTTGGCCACTAGAGAACTTACCCATTCACAAAGAAACACATGTGAGAAAGAAGGAATAGAGAGAGAGAGAGAGAGAGAGAGGAAGTGTGAAGAGAGAGAGAGAAGTAGGTAGAGAACAGAGGAAGAGTGTGAAGAGAGAGAAAGAGAGAGAAGCGGGCAAGAGAAAGGGGGAGCGAACCTGAGAGCGGGGTAGAAGAGGAAAGAGAGAAATGGGGTGGGAGAGTCGCACATGCGTAAATTAGGAATGTTTTCGCATGCTGACTTTATTCTCCACTCGTGTAGATTCCATTTACTCTACGCTCAGGCCATCCACGAATCATCATTTCATATATATATATTGATTGTTACAGACGAAGACAACTAATTATCGACAAAAAGGTCAAAACATAATATTCCAAGCAACGAATATGATAGAGATGTACGAGAAAAAACTTGAACAAAAGATATGAGGAAAATAATGGTTTGTCTAAGTCGACAAACCCAACCCAACAGTATAAATATTTGGGTTCGTTGACAAAATGAACCCTAGAAACTTTAACTTTGAATATTCAATAAATCAATAAATAATTGAAATAGGTAGTTTCTTACCCCATATTCGACCAAAAATTGAACAAGTTACCTTCTTCAGTGACGACGAAAAAAAAAAATAAACTCCTTCCACCTATGACCACAGGGAGTGAAAACTTCTACTCTGAATAAGATGTAAATAATCAGCAAATATTACGGTTCCTTCGTCTATACGACTCACCGTTTCACAATGAGATTTCATCAAGAACTTTGATGGAAAAGAGTCCTTGGTGAGACCAGAATGATATTACAAGTGTTTACTAAAAATCTAACATTTGGTATTTTCCTATTTGGGTGTAGGATGGCCATTTTGGTCATTCTGAATAATTCATTGCGTGCTGCTAGACTTAATGCTTAGGAAGGAGTACAAATACACAAATATGTACAGTACAAATACATACAAAATATACAAGGGTGGTATTTGTACTCCTTCCAAACTGAACCTAACGGAGTATTTTGGTAAAATAACACCTTTTATCAGCCGAGATAAGGGATAAGGGGGTCTTTGTCTAATGACCAAAGTTCAGGGGTCTTTGTCGCAAGAAAGGTATAGGGGTCTTTGTCACTAATTCCACATTACACGGGGGTCGGGGCCTTTGTGATGAGGGCAAATTTGGCCCTCCAGTGAAATTGTGACACATGGCACCTCGTGACGACTAGGCGACACCCAGGCAATAATTTACCAAGTTGGTGTCCCACCCGGGCACCGGCCTGGTCAGCTTGGCGCTGCCTGGCGCGACCTGGCGCGGCCTGCGCGACCTGGCCGACCTGGAAGACCTAGCCGACCTGGATCAGCCTGACGCACAACCCGACCTAGCCAACCTGGCAACCCATAAGACGTGCCCACTGATAAACTCGGCATGCATACCCCACGATCCGATAAACTCAGTAGCTCACCAAGGAGCTCGCCAAGGAGCTCGGTAGCTCACCAAAGAGCTCGCCAAGGAGCTCGGCATCTCACCAAGGAGCTAGCCAAAGAGCTAGGCAGCTCTCCAAGGAGCTCGGCAGCTCTCCAAGGAGCTCGGCAGCTCGCCAAGGAGCTTGGAAACTCTCCAAGGAGCTGGCCAAGGAGCTCGTCACCAAGTAGCCACTAGGGAGCTCATTGCCATAGGCAGCTCACCACTTGCAGGGTAGCTCGGTATAGAAGAGCAGTTTGGCATATCACAGGAAGATCTCCTGCCTGACAACTGTACCTGACGGATCAAGTGGCAGCGCCCATATCTCTTGCCAGGCGGCGTCGTGTCTGCCGTCTCTGAAAAGCATGACACGCCTGATGAGTCTGTACCCTGTAGCAGCAGCCTGCACCTACCACCTCAGTCCTGGCAGTAATGACTAGGGCAGTGGCGGTTACGCCTGATGTGACTGGGCACTGCTATATAAGGACTCCAACCCCCAAAGCCAAGGGGGGGAGAAGGGAAAAATGGAGGTAATCCCTGTTCTCTAGCTCTCTCATTTCTCTCCAAGCTCTCTGCAATCAGAATGCTAACTTAGGCATCGAAGAGTCTCCGTTGGGTAAATACCCCCGGGTCCTCTGATTCAGTTCTCGCAGGTTCCTCAGCTCCCGCCGCCTACAAAGAGGAGGAAAAGATGGAGTTCTCGCAGGTCTCTCAGCTCCCGTCGCCTACAAAGGAGAGGAGATCACCTCATGCAGAGGGCAGTCGGGTTTCGCTGCACCAGGGAGCTCCACCATCCTCTGAGTTACAGGCCGCCTAGGAGTAGGTCAAATGACGAGTCCACCAAGGTAGCTCACATCAGGGAGCTCGGCATAGTTCTCCCCAGCTCGGCCTAGTACTCTCCAACTCGGCATAGTTCTCCCCAGCTCGGCCTAGTTCTCCCCAGCTCGGCCTAGTACTCCCCAACTCGGCATAGTTCTCCCCAGCTCGGCCTAGTTCTCCCTAGCTCGGCCTAGTTCTCCCCAGCTCGGCATAGTTCTCCCCAGCTCGACATAGCTCTCACCAGCTCAGCATAGCTCGGGCAGCTCGGCATAGCTCTCCCCTAGGCAGTTCACCACCAGGGAGCTCCACCATCCTCTCCTGGGAGCAGGTCAAATGACAAGGTACTTAGCCAAAAAAATTGATACATCACAAAAATTGGTACGTGACCAGAAACGGTTACATCACTTTGTAATTTACCCATTTTGTTACTAATTGGTACTCACTTCTCACCTTCTCCTTCATTAACAACTAAAGAATGACCCCATACTAAGTTCGAGGCTAGTATTTTTTGATAATTTTTATTTTCTTTAAGCAAAACATGTATAACTTTTATTATTATTTTTATATTTTTTAAAGATTATTTGTATTGTAATATTTAGTTAATTAATTATTGTTGTTATTATTAAGTATTTAATTAAATATTTATTAATATAATAATTATTATAATTAAAATCTTTATCGTAAAAATTTAAAGATTAATCAAAATGTAATATTTACTTAATTATTTTATTAAAGATTTAATATTATTTTTAATTATTAATGGTGATAATTATTTTCTTATATTCTTATTAATAATCAGTATTTAATTACTGAGTATTGTTGTTGGGAAAATTTATGATGTGGAAAAGATATGGTATGGAAAGATTTTTGACCAATCAAAACCCACCCATTAATTTTGATAAATAACACTTTATTCATTACCATGTTTATGATTCCAGTTTGTTGGTATACTAAATTCTTGTAATTTACATAACTTTAATGCATAATCAAATTTTAAACCATAAGGCTCTTAACTAAAATTAAAATTAAAATTTATTTGACTGAAAATAACCACTTTGATAGATTTTTTAGGAGTGGATGAGCCCACTTCTGGGATGTTGTTCAATTAAATTTTAAGATGTCATATGTTTAATTAAATTTTATGGATAAACATGTGTTAAGCTAATAAATAACTGTATATTGAAAATGTTTGGAGTGAAACTACCCACTTTTTTAATCTTATTTCTTGAATTAACAGGATGCCACGTGTCTTAAAAGGGAAGGACTCTAGCTTGACGACCTTCGTTTAATATAGATTAGAGAATGACCCCCGTACAAAGTACGGGGTAATTAAATGTGTGCATAATTTAGTTTGAAGTTTACTATTTAGTTATCAAAAATTAAATTAAAAAAAAAACTAATATGGGTCTTGCATCTTTATAATTGACAATCTATTCTGACCTATTTTATTTGAAAATCATTATTAATTTATGTTTTTTTTAGTTTGATTTAAGATATTAAATGAGATCTGTTGTTGCTCGATCTAATGTGGTGCACGAACCGAGGAAGGCAATCAGATAATCCTTGCCAATAGGGCAGAGCCGAGGTGGAAGGATGGATTGCGCTTCAAGACCTGTGATCAAGAAAGGGAGTCAGAGGCCCGAGGAGTTATCCCCGGGTAGGCACTTTGACGCTCAAGTCAATAGAAGGTGGTGGGTGGTTGGGTCGAGCAATGAGAGTGCTGGTCCGAGCAAAGTAACAGTATGGGTGCTAGAAGTTGGAATCCCTTACCTTAAGCGGGAGATACCTTTTCATAGCCGGAGATCCGTGTCTTGGACGGATTGGGCTTCCATGGTTATCAGGATGAGGTTAATCGCTGAGGTCTTTGGGATAGAGTCCTATTCCCCAACGGAGTTGTCCTCACCCCTCCTCCTATCCTTGGTCGTGCTTATCCGCGTGACGTGTAGCTGACATAGCTGGTTAGGCCGTGCTGACGTGGCCGGAGTGATCAGGCGATGACTAGGCGGCTACGTGTCGCCTAAGGCCAGCTCGACCATGACCCAAACACCACTCCCCCAGTTCTAAAGTTGAGGAATGAAGTGTTCGGCCGAGATATAGCACGGGAGGGTGCTTTGTTTCTCGACTGAGGAACTCCAAGTTGAAGTCTGGTTGAGCGTCTAGTCCACTTAGTATTTCTCGGTGCTTGTCAAAATTCGGGATCCGCACAATGTGGGTTATAATTGAGGAGTTCTTCGATCGTCAGCTACGGAACTTCGAGAATTCCAGCTTCGGAATCCGAACACCACTCCCCCAATTCCGGAGTCGAGGAGAGGGAGTGCTCGGCCGAAGTATTGCGTAGTTGTTTACTCCAGTCAGGCATCGAGGAGTTAAGTTGGGCTCCGAGGTCTAGGCCTCTCTGATGCTCGACTGTGCTGCGTTGTGGAAGGGCTCTTTGTCCTTTGGCTGAGGAACTTGTGCTTGAAATTTCAGAATCTGAACACCACTCCCCCAGTTCCAAAGACGAAGAGTGGAGAGCCCGGTTAGGATGTAGCACGGGCTTCTTTGGTTAGGGTTCGTCGTTGGGCGTCTTGAGGAGACCCGAGGAGTTGGTTGGACCGACGGTCTTGGGCGGATCGCGGGGGTCCACAGATTTGGTTGGACTGGCACTTCAAGGTGGACCAGCGTAGTTAATGCCTTTATTGTTTCTTGTTAAGAATGTCACTTCGGTTCCCGAGGCCTCGCGCATGCGATGACAGTCACATTGATTGGTCTTCCCGAGCTTCGTCAAAGCAGCGCTTGATCTCCACCATTGATCTGGCTTCGATTTGCGCTTATGGGGGTTATAAGAAGGGGAGGAAGGGCATTTCTCCTTTGCCATTTGCGAGAGGAACTGCTTAGATAACTCGACAAGGGGTTGTTGGCGTTGCTCGACTCTTGCTCTAATTTCGCGGCTTCAAGTTCAGTAATATATCTTCCCCATCTTCTCGTTCCTCTTCTTCTTCTTCTGGTTCTTCTTCCAGTTCTAGTGGCTCCAACTATGAGTCTGAGGTTGGGGAATTTGAGGCAGCCAAGGTCGAGGAGGCTGAGGTTGGTCC